ATCACACCCTGCCCTGCTGTAACGGAATCCGAGACATATGGAATATGGATGTAGTACCAGAATCATGACTCTGGAAAGGTTTTTGGACGAGGTACCGGACGAGGTACCGGAATTACATTTGGCCATCCCAGCCAGAACCCACCCCACATATCCCCACGTCAGACCAAAAACTGTAAATAGTAAAAACGATGTGGATAGGTCCGAAAAATCCAAGCAATAAGGTCCGGAAGATGAGGTGGAGGAGGATAATGTTGCGGAAGATGAGGTGGAGGATGATGATGTGGAGGATGATGAGGTAGAGGATAACGATGTTAAGAAGGAGGAAGATAATGATGTTGAGGATGATCATGTTGAGGAGGAGGATGGAAAGGATGATAATTAATATTGCGGAAGAGGAGGTGGAGGAGGAGGATGTTGCAGAAAATGAGGTGGAGGATGACGATGTTGAGGATGATGATGTCAAGGGGGAGGACGAGGATGATGCTGAGAATGATGATGTGGAGGAGGAGGAAGATGATGATACTGAGGAGGAGGAGGAGGAGGAAAAGGAGGAGGAAGAGGACCGATCACAAGACCCCCGAGTGTGTACACACTGTGTGGGAAACTCACGTTGCTCCAGGGATTGTTAGGGGGCAAATGGATATAACTTGATACAACTAATGTTTGCCATGTTAAGAATCCCTGCGTGCCTGTGCGTTGTGCTGTAAAGATCATACCAAATAACAAATCATGTAGTAATTCATTCCAGTGGTTGTGTCACTTCTTCCGCATGGCACACCGAGATGAGACAACAAAGTGCTATCTGAGACAAGAAAGGGCTTACCCCATCATTGCGAGATCGCTTCTTGCGGGGGGGTTCCATTGCCATTGAAACACCAATCAAAGCAATCTTGGGCCAAAGTGCCCAATCATTCGCGCATCTGCTGATCTTTGCAGATTGAATTGAGCTTGTCTAAACCTCATTTTGTAACAATATACCATTCCACCAAAAGCCAAAAGGCACCGCTAAACTCCATAAAAGTAACCCAGGGATTGTTAGGGAGGCAAATGGATATAACTAATGTTTGCAATGTTAAGAATCATTGCGTGCCTATGCGTTGTGCTGTAAAGATCATACCAAATGACAACTCCATTCCAATGGTTGTGTCACATCTTTTGCATGGCACACCGAGATGAGACAACAAAGTGCTGCCTGAGACAACTTAGGGCTTTCACCAAGTACGTCTTACTACGTCTTCCTCTGTCTTTCTGCGTCCTTCTCACCATATCAATACGTCTATCATGGCACTCCTTCTCCAGACAGTTTGACGCACCGTCACGGTGACCTGCGATTGAAATCTATGGATGAAAAGACATCAACGTAGAGAAATCTAAAGAACATGACAAAACCATCACTTAGCATCACTTCCCATAACACTAAAATACCCAAAACACACCTAGAACATGACGGAATCAGAACGTAACATAACGTAACCTGGTCCTACCCTAGACGGTACATTGTGGTACAGCATGGTACAGCATGGGGCTTGACTGATTCTGATCCAGCCATGCCTTGCTGGGAAGCATCGCCTTGGTTTGCATTGCTACGGACGCTGACGCTTGCAATCTTGCACATTTTTGTGCGATCTAATGTGGAAACATCATGTAATTACCACAAAGTGAAACAAAGCACTTAGTGCCCATCACACTACCTGTAAGATCTGTAAGATCAGAAAAAAAATGCAGTCTCAATGGAAAATCGTTGGGCGCCAAACCAGAGTAAACTGACGTCGTTGACGGACGAAAGTCTGAGATCGGAACTTGAGCAATCAGAAGCTCTCCCTTCACACATTGGCTCCGAACTGACCTCAGAACTTCGAACACACAACTCCAAACTGACCTAAGTCCCTAACGAAACTACAACATCTGTGAAACTCTGTCTGTGGATACTCTGTGCACATCTGGGAACAAGGATCTTGAAGGGTGCTGTAGCTGCTGCCACTTGGGGGCCCTGCAAATCTTTGGCCGGCCACTAATGCCACTATACAACACAGGCAAACCAGATCAAATAGGTATCTAGATTATCGAGACTATCTAGACTGATCAAAGGATCAAGTGAAGGATCAAATGATCTCAAGTGATCCCAGACCCAGAGGATCAAACGGGACTTTTGGTCTTTGAGCCAACTGCGAGAGAAACAGCAAGCCTTCTACCTGTCGTGCCATCTTTGTGATCCCAATCTTCCAATCACCCACGGAAAAGCCTGATGCCCACAGGTTGCCCACAGGTTGCCCACAGATTGCACACTGGTTGCGCACGCGCACGCGCACACAAACAAACAAACAAACAAAACCAAACCAAACAAAACAAAACAAAAAAAAACGAAACAAAAAAAACAAAACAAAAAAACAAAACAAACAAACAAACAAACAGACAGACAGACAGGCAGACAGACAGACAAACAAACACACAAACACACAAACAAACAAACAAACAAACAAAACAAAACCAAACAAACAAACAAACAAACAAACAAACACACAAACACACAAACAAACAAACAAACAACCAACCAAACAAACAAACAAACACACACACAAACAAACAAACAAACAAACAAACACACAAACAAACAAAGAAACAAAGAAACAAAGAAACAAAGAAACAAAGAAACACACAAACACACAAACAAAGAAACACACAAACACACAAACAAACAAACACACAAACAAACAAACACACAAACAAACAAACAAACAAGCAAACAAACAAACAAACAAACAAACAAACAAACACACAAACAAACAAACAAACAAACAAACACACACACACACAACTGTGGGATATATAGATTCGATCGTAGTGAGGTGAAGTAAAAGAGCACCACCAATTCCTGAATAGAGGGCCTGAAACGGATCCTGGGACATGAGGCATGAATTATGAAATATGAAAAATGAATTCCGGTTCTCAGCTTAGCCGGATGCTATATCAAAGTTACTTAGTTTCCGGTTCTCAGCTTAGCCGGTTGCTATCCTCTGATGCAGGTACGCTGGGTTGATCAGACCCAGTATCCCATGATTGTGGTAGCTTCGTTGAGTGCGGTCCCACAATCATGCCGCACTCCCCTGCCAAATCAATATTTAGACTGCATGTTATTAGCAGTGTACACACACACATGGCCTCTCAATATGAGAGGCAGATCAGTAAATGGGGCAAAACCGCAAACTGCCTATAGTTTTTACCTAAGAAAACTGACCTAAAGAGCCTGCCTAAGAGAATGAATACCTGGCCTAAAAGAACCTGATGACGATGACGAGTGATGTGAAAAGAAAAAAGTTACTTTCAACGCAACAAGGGGAGGGTTGCAACAACAGAATTTTCCAACTGAATCGGCCAGTTTCCTCAAATGCCTCTCCAGGGAAGATATTCGGGTCTGCTCACTGGGGAATGAACTTAACGTGTGGTTTTCTTTGGTTCAAGTGACACCCATGACTGTCATTTGATCTGTCAAATCAAACCACATCTCCATGGTTTCCAGAAACCTAAGGAGCCTGCCTAAGAGAGTGAATATATAGCCTCAACAGAACCTGATGACGATGAAGAGTGATGTGAGAATTAAACGTTGAACCATGTTCTATACCTAGTAAATCTGACCTAAGGAGCCTGCCTAAGAGAATGAATACATGGCCTCAAAAGAACCTGATGACGATGACGAGTGATGTGAGAAACAAAACGTTAAACATGTTCTATACCTGGAAAAACAAACCTAAGGAGCCTGCCGAAAAGAATGAATACATAGCCTAAAAAGAACCTGATGACGATGACGAGTGAGGTGAAAATGCTAAACTGAGGATATGACCGCATGTACTGGTAAAAGTGCGCATTCAGAGTACTTCGTCATGTGACAACTTCTCCCTTGTGGGTACTTCGCCAATTGGGCTAAACTTCGCCTTATGGCTGTCAATATGTGTTGAACGAACTTCAATGTCCACCTTGACATTGTCTACTTCTTTTGCATGTAATATGCAAAGGGGACTTCAGGATGTTGGCGACATCCCACTCTGCAGCCGGGAAAATGCCCGGTCATAACTTTCATATCCGTCGAAGCGGACAGACGGTACTACCAAGTGAGGTAAAGTACCCAAAACACACTGTGGGATATATAGATTCGATCGTAGTGAGGTGAAGTAAAAGAGCACCACCAATTCCTGAATAGAGGGCCTGAAACGGATCCTGGGACATGAGGCATGAATTATGAAATATGAAAAATGAATTCCGGTTCTCAGCTTAGCCGGATGCTATATCAAAGTTACTTAGTTTCCGGTTCTCAGCTTAGCCGGTTGCTATCCTCTGATGCAGGTACGCTGGGTTGATCAGACCCAGTATCCCATGATTGTGGTAGCTTCGTTGAGTGCGGTCCCACAATCATGCCGCACTCCCCTGCCAAATCAATATTTAGACTGCATGTTATTCGCAGTGTACACACACACAAACAAACACACAAACACACAAACAAACAAACAAACAAACAAACAAACAAACAAACAAACAAACAAACAAACACACAAACAAACAAAGAAACAAAGAAACAAAGAAACAAAGAAACAAAGAAACAAAGAAACAAAGAAACAAAGAAACACACAAACAAACAAACACACAAACAAACAAACACACAAACAAACAAACAAACAAACAAACAAACAAACACACACACACAGGGCCAAAAGGTTAAAGGTGCTCAGCCATGAAAACCAGGAAAGCGACGTGCCAAAATACAAAGGACCTGGGTTTTCGACTTGCAAGGGCCGTGCAATTTGGTGGCCTATGCTTATCAGCTAATTAGGGAGGGTTCTTGGATAGTCTTGGATGTAGATCACTGAACAGTGACACGTCCAAGATCTCTGATCTCTCAAAATCGGAAAGGTTGTATAGCCACTGAAATCGATAGCTGGTACCTTGCATTGCACAAGAGATCACTCCACATTGTTGTGTCACCCAGCCCCGGATTTCTGCAAGTCCACTTTGCATCTTTTGCCTGATTAGCGCATCCTGAGTCAATGCTGCAAGTCGCCGCCGGCTGATTTACTTCTCCAGCTCAAGTCCTGCAAATACGACTGACTAAGAATAAAAATCTCATATGACCTCAACCGCCATCACATCTATCGAGAGTTTAACCAGGATGAACTTGTCATTGACAGAAGACACCTGCTTGATCTGCTTGATTTCATTGACATTTCACCCAGAGTTCACCCAGCCTCAAACGTCGACGCGACAAGCGACACTTCAGCCTCTATCCCATTCCAGGCGGGGGCGGCCTGAGTCCAAACAACATTTAAACAACATCAAACACGACAAACAACCAAAGACAACCAAAGACCATAGAAATCGGTGGAAACTTGCAAGATTAATAAGATTAACTATCTGGATTATCTGGATCAGATATGAGAAAACATGATAGAATGAACCACAAAACTGCAACACTGGGTGGACCTTGAGCGGAATTAAACCTTGTCCATTCTTGCTTATTGCTGGACGATGGTGGATGGAGTAGCCTCTCATCTACACCCAAGACTAAGAAGGAGCAAAGAGGTGTAGTCGCAGAACTGTGAGGAATTGCCAATTCGAACTGCGCCAAGCAGACCGGTTTACAGAAATGCGGTAAGAACTCAGATTTCAGAGAAACTTTCACTCTGCCAAACGCAGCTGTAGTCCCCTGATTTTTTTTCCTCTTGCTCTTCCTTTTCTTCTTCTGTGTGTGCTAATATATCGTTTCCTGCATCCTAATACGTTTGATGTCAAGTCCGCCCACGCTGAAGGTGCCGGGGCGTTTTTTTGTCTGCATGCACTATCCAGAAACAATTGCAATAGTTATCCAACCTAAAATTTACTGTACATTAGATAACATCATAAGCATCAAATTTTCATCAAAATTCACCACAACATCAAAAAATCCTCACAGCGCCGAACCATCGTATAACCCCATTCAGTCCGCAAAACATGCATTCCAAAGAATATTGTTCCTGAAAATCAACGCCGTGAGAGGTGATGTTGTCCTTTTCAAAATTCTTACCCAAGAACGACACCATTCTTAGAAAAATAAGAGAAGTAGTCGTTATATATATATTTTGATGTAATTTCATGAAATTTCTGGTTTGCATTTTGCCATCAAAATTTATGGTCTGAAAACACTGTGATCTTATTATATTATCATATATTATCTTAAACTCTTATCCCTAAAGCTAAACAATTACTTTACTTCGTGTGATTCCCACAATGACATTTATACATTTTGTTACTGGCAAATCTTCTGGCATTCTATCTGACATATCTTCTGGCATTCTATCTGGCATTCTATCCGGCATTCTATCTGGCATATCTTCTGGCATTCTATCTGGCATATCTTCTGGCATATTATCTACTCAAATCTTCTGGCATTCTATCTGGCATATCTTCTAACATTCTATCTGGCATATCTTCTGGCATTCTATCTGGCAAATCTTCTGGCGTTCTCTCTGGCATAATTTCTGGCATATCTTCTAACATTTTATCTGGCATATCTTCTGGCATTCTATCTGGCATATCTCATGGCATTTTATCTGGCATATCTTCTGGCATTCTATCTGACATTCTATCTGGCATATCTTCTGGCATTCTATCTGGCCGTTGAGGTCCAGCGGTGCACACTGAGCTGGGCAGGTCCCAGGTTGAGGTCCAGCAGTGCACACTGAGCTGGGAAGGTCCCAGGTTGAGGTCCAGCGGTGCACACTGAGCTGGGCAGGTCCCAGGTTGAGGCCCAGCGGTGCCCACTGAGCTGGGAAGGTCCCAGGTTGAGGTCCAGCGGTGCCCACTGAGCTGGGAAGGTCCCAGGTTGAGGTCCAGCGGTGCACACTGAGCTCGGACGTTGGCGAAGAGCTTGGCGAAGAGTTGGCAAGGCAACAGTGGACGTGGAAGTGGAGGCAGAGGTGGTGGAGGAGATGCTGGCGGTGGAGGAGCAGGAGGAGCAGGAGGATAGCTAGCCGAGGAGGAGGAGGAGAACAACTCTGATAAAATCTAACAACCCTCACCTGGCACGTGGGGAAATATCAGTTTCAAAATTTAAACGCACCATTTCAGACCTTTTTGCCTTGGAAGCCTTTTCAGGGGGGATGGGCGCCACCAAAACCTAATTAGCGTTGCAGTTGTTTTGGATACATGCTCAGCCTGTCCCCTGAAATGGCCCATCCAACCTTAAACATGTTTACCCATTTCTGCCACCCGCTAGAAACATCTAATTAGAAACTATTTCCATTGCTCGAAGTAATGGATAATCACAAGTTTTTTCCCAAAATACTGTGTCCACACTGAAGGGTTTTTGCGGTAGGAGCAGAGGCCGGTGCTTCATCAGGGTGCTCACTCTGAGGCGCAGCATTTTTCCTGTAAATTTCCGTATAAAGTGGCTCTTGTGAAATGTTGAGTTGGATTTCGCCTGCGCAGACTCGCACAAAGTCTGCGGCGCGGTTTTGGTCTGCGGCATTTTGCCTGTAAATTTGTGTATAAAGCGACTCTTGTGAAATCTTGACATGCGTTTCGACTGCGCAGGCTCGCACAAAGTCTGCGGCGCCGTTTTGGTCTGCGGCATTTTTCCTGTAAATTTCTGGCTCTTGTGACATGTTGATGTGCATTTAGACTGCGCAGGCTCGCGCAAAGTGTGGGCCGCGGTTCTGGGGAACGGCATTTTTCCTCAAAATTTCCGTCTAAAGTGGCTCTTGTGACATGTTGACTTGGATTTCGCCTGCGCAGGCTCGCACAAAGTGTGCGCCTAGGTTCTGGGCTCGGGCACTTCTCCTGTAAATTTCCGTATAAGCCGGCTCTTGTGACATGTTGACGTGCATTTCCACTGGGCAAGCTCGCGCGAAGTGCGGTCCTAGGTCTTGGGATCGGTCCTCCTCCTCAACATCATCATCCTCAACATCATCACCACCACCACCACCATCATCATCATCATCAGCATTATCATACATTATCCTCCCACCCCCCCACACTGTTTGGGGTCTCTTGCCGGGATAACTGAAGGATTTACATTCCTGTGTAGGTCTGACCTGCATCCCAACGCAAGTTGGACTTGCATCCCCATGTGGTCAGATTTACATCCCTTCGTAGGTGGGAGTTACACACCTGCATAAGTCCAAAACTACCACTTGCAAAAATTGAAAGACGACGCCAGAAAACAATATCGCACTTCATGACAACAGTGTGTAAAAAGATGTTGTGCCACCACCTGTTCGTTTAGCTTGACAACTGCCCAATTCAACTATTTCCAGTTTGAAATGGCCAAAAAACAAGGGCACAATAAGATTTCTAGGAGGGTCTTAGAACTTTGTAAAGTCTATATCTAGGAAATCTTTGATCTAGACTTGACTGTAAGAAAGCCGACGCCAAGTTTATAATGGTCTCACAAAGTTTAAACGTTACAAGCAAGCTTTGCTGTGATTTAGTCTTTCTGAGAGATCTCACACGTTCTACCGTGAACAAACAATTCCGGTGCGGGCAGTTATCGTCGCGAATCGACCAGAATATCTCGACTATTGAAGTGTGCTGACCCTGGAAGTTCAGGCCTTGCATGCTCTATCATGCTCTTAGTCATTTGTGTCCTCTGTCGTGTCTTGTGTCATGTCCTTTGTCCTCAGATCTTGCACTGCCTTGCACAGTTTTGCACCTGGGAACATGACATGTTGGGCGGCATCATCGGCGGTCGCACCGGTGGCGCACCAGCACCTGGCCCTGTTGGACCTCCTGGTCCTCCCGGAGTGTCCTGGACGGCAAAGCGATCTGGGCTTTTCCGCATCTGCCCTTGTTGCTAGATTCTGGTTTCAAGAGTTGAAGCAGTGGAAAGCCTCACGATATCTCTGATATCTCACTACATATCTCACTACTATTCAACAGTTTGGCCTCATTTTGGCGCCTGCTGCATTGATTACACAGAACAAAGCAGGCTCTGATGTTTCTGCTTTCCGTATATACGTGTTTTGTCTCCAAAAAACACATGATTGATCTTACGAGATTCTGTCAAATAAAGAAGAATCAAAGATAATCAATAGATTCAATAGATGTCATGATGTCAATGTGCTCAAACATGCCCATTTTGCCCAATGTGGCGGCATTGTCCGTACCTTGATTGGGCGGTTCGCGGCAATCAGCCGTTCTGCGGCGCTGCCGTGCCTGGCGGAGCGCATAGACAGGTTTGAACCTGCTCATGGAATGGGATAATTCAATATCCTTTAGTATGATTCATATGTAGTATATATATATATATACACCTACATATGAGAATGACATATATATATAATATGTATACACATACTCTATTATTTATGTTTATTTATTTTGTATAAACAAAAATTAAAGGACCGGATAACCCCACATGTCAACTTCTTCCAACAAGCAGCAAAAGAAAGGTAAAGATGGCATGGGGCAAGCAGGAAAGAGAAAAGAGATGGTGAAGGATTGGTGTGGAGTAAGTCGTGTGTGGAAGAGTAAGTGTGAGCACGTTGTGTGGTGATAAGTTGTGTGTGAGGGGTGTGTGTGTGGACCATCTGAAAAGATGTAAAACTTCCTATTGCTTTGACTTGGTTCAATTTTACTTCATATTTGCAGGGGGACACAGCATTTCACTGGGACTGTGTCCAACGAAGCTACCAGTGAAATGGGATATCCAGCTTGGCCAGCTGGACGTACCTGCATCAGTTTTATTTCCTCGTGATGGGACGTGGCTAACCCAAGAACCACCAAGCCGTTTCATTTGTCAACCATTTGCATTGTTCAATTTCTGCACTGTTGTCGCAATCTGGCATTATTTTATTTATTTTGGACTTCGCTGCATTAGAACCTTCCTCAGAGCAAGGACGTAGAGAGTTTACTTCGCACTGAAATTCACGTTGGATCAACCAATTTTTCCTGGCAGTTTTTAAGGGATTGTTTTGTGCACGTGTGATGCACTCCACAACAAAATTCGCAATGTTGTTTCTGAGCAAGTGTGTCATTCCTGCTGTATACGTCAAGTTGGCAGGAACCCTTCGGGGAAAGCCTTTCCAGGCTAACAATTGACAGTAAATCGATGTCTGAATTTACACTTTTGAATTAGTAATTCGTTTAAGTAAAGTGAACTGCTGGCCTTTTTTCTGGTCTCACCAGTCGATGTCGATGTGTTGAACTGCTGCCCGCTGAGCCTGGGATCATCCTTTTTCTTTTGCGGCTCTGCATAGCTGGAAGCCACGTTAACATTTCCTTTTCAACTTTGCTCAAGAGAGTACGGAGCTCGACATTTTGGAACATGACATGGATTCACTTGGAGGTCTCAGGACATGTTTTAGGTGTGGTTTTTCTTCCTTTTTTGGTCGTTGGTGAGGTTCAATTGTGCACCTAATTCACTTGAATTCTGACAGCCGTCGATGGGGTTGAAATGAAAACCGAGGGCCTTTGAGCCTTATCACGAATACTGCATGTGTTGTGGATGCATCCAATGTTTGTGTTCTTACCATTAAAGTGATCGTCTGACAGTGCTGCCAGACCTGTTATTTCTGGCCATGTTTCCTGGTCGTTGGCCAAACTTTTCGGAGAACATGTGGAACTGTGGCTGGTCAGCGCCTACCTTTACCTCACCTCAACCTGCTGCACAATTTGGTCAATTTTGTGGAGGTGATCTGATGAACCAACAGTCTCAAGCTCAGTCACAAGCTCAGACCCAAGCTCAGTTGGCTCAGTTAAGGGACCAAAATGCATTATTGCATCAACAGTTGAATTCCCAAGCTCAGACCCATATTCAGCAACTCCAGCAGCTTCTTCCATTCCATCAGACTTCCCAACCAACCGCATCTCATCAGACTCCTCCATCAGTACCTGAACCACCAACGGTGCCACCCGTCCAGACTCCTCCTGCTTCAACTCCAGCTCATCCCGCTCCACAAGAGCCACATACCACTTTCAATCCAGAAGAGATGATGCAACAGATGCGCAATACAGTGGAATCCGGCATGCAGGCGTTTATGGAAATGACCAAAGAAAGGTCCAAGAGTCCTCATGCAAGTGGGGTACACCCACCACCAGCGACTCCAGTTGCAGAGCCTCTACCCGTTGTCCCATTGCCACCACTTCCACGGCTTCATCGCCGTTCCAGGTCACGGTCTCAACACATTCCGTCTCAGGTGGACAAACGTCCCATTTCGATCCCGAGAAGTCCAAGACGTCACAGACGGGATAGCCGTTCCCGCCAACATCGTCGACGTTCCCGTTCACGGGATGACTCCATGTCTCCAGGCCGTCCCCAGTCAGTCACTCTTCGTTCCAACTCTCCACGTCACCGGGAAGACCTACATCAACGTGAGGAACTTCGACGCCGTGATGAGTATACTTATCCATCCACTACACAACAACCTCCATCTTGGCATGACCATCACTACGAACAACCTTCAATTTCCGACAAGTCGGACTACCAAGACTATTCCTCATACCCTGACTACGGCTCCACCAAAAAGTGGAAGCCTTGGCAGTCTTGGAAGGACCAGTCCAAGTCTCAATATTACACCCATCCCTCCGGATGGATTGATTACTCAAAGCCACACTACAAACATCAATCTTATGATGAACAGCCTTCCAAGTATCCTTCAAAGCCTCTGACGGCATACTCGCTTGATAAGCATTCCCACAGCCAGGGCAATCATCCCAATCGCTCTGGCTCAGCTCAATCCAGAGCTTCCACTCTTCCACCTGGTCATATGGCCATCAACCTTCAAGAAGGTTCCAGAGAGAAATGGGCTCGCCAAGTCAAACATGCTCTCACCCATTCAGGTCGGATGAGAGCAGCAAGTGAACTTGACGCAAAGGAGCTTCCTCAACCATCCACGAGTATTGTCCAAGAGCACTTTGATGAAGCAATGGACGAGTTGACCAACGTGGACGTGCGAATTCCCACAGACATTGGCAGAAAAGCCATACATTTATTGTCAAGTACAGGCATCCTGACGGATTTTGACTTGTCCGCATGCTATGTTCGAGAACTTCCACAAACAGGCATGCTAGCCTTAGTCATGCCGCTGCCAGAAATGAGCCGATTTCAAATGCCCCCACCTTTTGGCGGCCAAACTCTCGTCACACATGCACTTGGCCATGGTACGACCCTCAGTACCGCACAGCTGATCCTTATGGAGGGCAAGATCCGACCAGCAAACTGGTCTTACCACAAAAATCCACAGAGATGCGACATGCCCACCTTTGGAGCATTCTATATAGGCCGACAGATTGCCAATGCTGACAAGAACTTCCCATCATGGGCAGAACTGAACAGGAACTACTTGATTCCATGGAGAAGAAAGGCAAAGGCCAGCAAGCAATCACCATTGGGGCGATCTATAGAGGCTCAATGGAACATCTTGCACTGCGCGGTGGAGGGAACGAGAAATGTCAGCTCAATGTAGCTAAAAAGGGAATCGTCACCACTCCGGAGAAGTACACGATTGCTCATAGCTACCACGTGGGGCTGAAGTTCATCGCGATCAAATGGTCAGACCTCAAGGATGATGATTCACTGGCACGGCGCCCTATCGAACTTAAGGACACAGATTCTGAGGACAATGTCAACTACCGTGCCAACGAGGAACGGCATGCAGCCAAACGCAAACGTTGAGCATTTAAGACAGCATTCTCTGATCGTGTATCATTAGTTTTCTTGTCCTAAACAGGATCATGACTTCTTTTCTAGGGATTTCCTGGACAAACGCATTGGCAAAATGCGACTGCTGACTCGCCCGTCTGAGTGCTTTCCACTCTTATGAACTTTTTGGTCATTACGAGCTTGCTGATTTTGTTTAGTGACTTTGATGCACATACCTACATTGTTTGACAGGGCCTTGTACCGTAAATGTGATGTTCCATTTCATTTCATCCTGTCAATCGTTGGAACCACCGCAGCTTTTTTGATCCATCAGTAATTTTGAACTGCCCACGCCACTATGGCAGAGTCTGATCGATCCCGCTCACCAGCACCTGGTCGAAATCGAGCTGAACCTGAGCCTTCTCGCCCTCCTGTACGGCAAGCTCTTCCGTTCTTTCCTCGATGGTGTGGTCCTATGCAATCAGCGATTTGGCACTCTCAACAGATGCTGCGACCTCAGTCCAGACCTCAGTTCCAACCTCAGCTCAATATGCACCAGTCGGGACCTTATATGATGATTCCACCAACAAATCCATCAGCTTCGACGCATACATGGACAAATCCAAGACTTCCACCTACCCATCCAAGATTTCCACCTGCACCTCCTTCATCTCCACCACCAACACTTGCATATCCACGTCAATCCAGCTCAGCCACTCCGCCATGTTCACCTACGATTCCATGTGCCCCAACTCAACTGGCTTCGCCCAGTACTCCATCAATCCCGTCGTCACAACCTCGCCGCTCTGGCACTCCATTCTCCAAGTCCCCAGGAGGACAGACTACCATTGATGAAAGTCGTACATATGGCTTCGATCTCAACCCTCATTGGCAAGAAGATCAAGACCACTACGACAATCAGAAGATCAACGGCTTGACCTTCCCTCGAAGTATTCGACCCTCAGCTTTTACACAAAAGCTCGACATCGAGGGATGCGATCCACTGAAGCTTCCAGTAGCGGCCTTACTATATCAGCAGGCCAACAACTTCTGGCTTCGGAAGCTGGCTCATGGGCGTGAAGTGTACCTGATTCCTACGGGGGACATCGCAGCGGTAGCGGTGGTATTCATGACGGAGCTATTGACTCAATTACGGAACAAAGGGGTGGATCTTGACAAGGTGTCATCCTGCAAAGCCAGACAGGATGGAAAGTTGCTGGACAAGACCAACAACACCAAGTACGCTGCTCAACAGATCGCAGACCTGATCCATACTTGGGTTCCTACCCGAATGGCAGACCCTGACACTCAACAGGAACTGACTCAACTTCGGAGTCAACTTGCCCAATTGCGACAACAACTCGGGGAAAACCCGGGCGAATCTTCATCTCCGGGCACTCCTGGCCCTCCAGCATCCAGTCCTGCTGCCACACCTATCCAAGCTGCTCTTCTTCGAAGCTCTCAACAACCAGCTCCTCCTGCACCTCCGGGTTTTGATCCTTCATCCCTTCTTGTCGGCACCACCAGTGTCAATCCGTGGCTCACTCAGAACATGCCACCAACCCTTGCAGTC